CCAGGTGTGAGAGGTTGGTGTTTGTCCGCCCTTCCTACCCTGGGTGACATTCTGTTCCCACCATGGCGCCTCGGGGAGGCTGGCGCAATGGCAGCCCCGGGGTGCCATGGAGAAACGAGGTCACAGGCTGCGGCCAGCAGGGAAGGAGGTATTTCTGGCCGAGCAGGTGCGGCCGGTGCCACTCCCTGGCAGCTGAGCTGAGCAGTGTGGTTTTCTGGAGAGCAAAAGGGGGGAGAAGCTGGAAGGGCCGAACGGGGGCCTGCGTTGGTGATGAGAGGCGTCGACTCTGCCTGGGGCTTGAACCCCCAGCCAGCCCGCCCAGGCCCCACAGGGAGTACTTTGCTCCTGGCTCCTTGCATAGGCCGCCTGGGTGCTGCCAGGCTGCCCAGCATGGTGTGTGTGTCGGGGGGGGGTAATGGGGTGACCTGGCCTTCACTTTGCTCTTGTAGCCATCATCGGGTTCAGACCTCTGCCCCACGTGGCTCCGCTGCCCTTCTCAGCCTCCCAGCTGTGCCACGGTGGCTGCCTGGTCCTGAGTGGAAGCAGTCCCAGGTCCCAGTGCCTGGCAGTACCTATTGGCCTCCGTTCCACCTGTATCCCTCCGCCAAGCCACACTGAAGTTCCAGGTAGCAGGGGCATCACCAGCCAGAAGCAGGCGGCCAGCAGCCCTGCAGTCTGTCCGGCTGCCCCTTTCCTTACTTGCTCTCAGTCAGCACCATTCACTGATGTGGCCAGTCTGCATCTGGCTCAAGGCGGGCACTCTACCACTTGAGCCACAGCACCGCTCCCGGTTTTCTGGTGGTTCATTGGAGATAAGAGTCTCACAGACTTTTCTGCCTGGGCTGGCTTTGAGCCTTGATCCTCAGATCTCAGCCTCCTGAGTAGCTAGGATGACAGGCGGGAGCCCCTGGCACCAAGTTGGCCTTTGCACTTGTTTCTCCGTCTGCCTAGATCTTTGCCCTAGATGTGGGCATGGCTGGTGCCCTTGGGCCCAATGGGCCTTGTGCCCAGGGATTCACTTCCTGGCTACTTGTCTCCGCCGTCCTGCGTTGTCCACAGTGCCAGAAGTTGCGGTTATCTGTCCCTCAACCTCATGCATTCATTCTCCCTGACAGTCTAGAATCGCCACACAGGCCAGGCGAGGGAGGGACCTGGTGTTGGCCTCCCGCAGTTGGGGAACCCGTGGACTCTCGATTGGGGAGTGGGTGGCACAGCCAGGCTTGGGGCTCCCTTCTGTCCAGTCCTGCTCTCTCTGATGACTGACTGCCCTGGGCCAGCATAGCCAGGACCAGAGGCCATGGCCACAAGGGGGCAGTGGAGAGCGGCCCGGCTGCGGGGCCTCCCCCACCAAGCCAGTCTGCTGTTGCTGGGATTCTGCCACTAGCTGTGTGGGGCATTCCTGTGCCAGCCCGAACCCCACTGCGCAGCTGCCACTGCTCCAGTTCACCCAGGGGTACTTATCCTAGGCTGGTCTGGAACTCTTGATCCTCCTGCAACGTGCTGGAATTACAGATGTGCACCACCATGCCCAGCCCACTATATATTCTCAATATGAGTTGTGGCAGCTTGATGGTGGGCACCGTGCACTTTTTGGATGGAGTTGTGGGGCTCGGGCTCGCGAGGGGTCTGGGCCTCTGGGGCTGAAGCCTGGGATTGTTTCTTTGGCCTTGGAGCTGGGCATGGTAGAGCTGAGGCGGCTGTGCAGCGCTGGGCCCCAAGCCCTGCTCCTGAGGGTTTCTTGTAGTGCCACCTCAAAGAGGTGACTGGCAAGGGGCACCCCAGCTTTTCTGGAAGCCACACCCTGCTTGGCCTGGTAGGCTGATCCTTGCTGCTGGGAACCCCGAGCTGCCCCCTCAGCGGGTGGAGGATGAGGGAGGCAGGGGCGGGTGGTGGCAGCTGGGGCTGTGGGGGCTCGGCCGGGTTTGGCTCAGGACAGCGCCTGCCTTGTCTAGAGGAGGCAGATGGGTCCTCTCTGGGGATTGCTAGTTTTGGGGGAGGTTCTGGGGATTGAGCCCAGCAGGGCGCTGCAGGCCCAAGCAGTCTGTGGTGTTGGGGCACAGGGTGAGACAGCCAAAGGACACCTCCCCCCAAGCCGCGCGGGGACCTTGCTGTGGGGGCTGCTGCCTGTGGCTCTGGGCGGGGCTAGAGGAAGCCCCGCCCCACCCACTGCCGGGTGGGTTTCAGGCCGCCCAGGTCGTGCCCCTGGCCCTTGGCCACGCCCTGACCTTGGCCGAGCAGGAGTTGCTGTTGGCTGGGCTGAGGAATCTCGGGCCTCTGGGTGAGAATTCCTTCCCTGCTAGTGGGACTGTCAGCGCAGAGCTGCCCCTCCACGCCTCCATGACCCCCCCACGCCCCGCCAGGCCTCCTCTGTCCACTGTGCGCTCCCTTCATGGCGGCCTCTGCCAGGGCCATGCTGCCTGCCCGGCCCTCCCACTCCAGCCCTGCCCCACCACTGCGCCAGCCTAGAGCAGGGTGGAGAGGGTGGGGGCCTCCGGCAGGGAGCTCTGCCGTTTCCCCTGGCCTGCGGCCTTTTGTCTCATTTCATTTTGTTTCTGACGGGTCCTTGTAGCCTGTTGTTCCCCCTAGAATGCTTGCGTTGGTGTCTGGGGTGGCCCTCGGGGGAACTCTTGCCTGGCACGCAGACATGTTTGTGTCCGTGGAAGTCACAGTCTAGTGACAGCACCCCTCACCTCCTTCCACAACTTCAAGTTTCATTGTCCCAAAAGGAGATTGGAGCCGGGCGCCAGTGGCTCACGCCTGTCATCCTAGCTACTCAGGAGGCTGAGATCGGAGGATCGCTGTTCAAAGCCAGCCTGGGCAGCAATGTCCATGAGACTCTGATCTCCAATAAACCCCCAGAAAACTGGAGCTGTGGCTCAAGTGGTAGAGCGCTTCACCTTGAGCTGAAGAGCTCAGGGACAGCCCCAGCGTTCAGGTCCTACAACCCATAAAAAAAGGAGATCCCAGCTGGGTACTGGTAGCTCACACCTATAATCCCAGCTGCTGGTCCCAGATCTGAGGATCTCCGTGCAAAGCCAGCCCAGACAGCAAAGTCCGTGAGTCTTCTCTACAAGCAACCAGCAAAAAGCCAGAAGTGAAGCTCTGGCTCAAGTGATAGAACCCCAGACTGGAGTGAAGTTAAGGGACAGGCAGGTGCCAGTAGCTCAGTTCTGTAAACACAGCTACTCAGAGGCTGAGATCTGAGGATTGTGGTTGAAAGCCTGGGCAGCAAAGTCTGTAAGACTCATATCTCAAATTAAGCACCAGAAAAGCTGGAAGCGGTGCTGTGGCTCAAGTGGTAGAGCGCCAGCCTTGAGTAAAAAAGCTCAGGGACAGTGCCCAGGCCCCAGAGCTGGCACAAAAAATAACAAGGCAGCCCAGCACCACTTGCCACCACTCTCGCCCTCCCACCCGCGTCTGTGGGCTGTGCGCTGTGCGCCTTGGGGGTCATGAAGGCACAGGGGCCTTCACACCTGCACTGGCGAGAGCCTGCGCGGGGTCTGGGGGCTTTGGGGCCCTGGCATACCTTTGTGGGGTGCCCGTGGCTCCTCTTCCCTGTGGTCTGGCTGTGGCTGCTGGGCTCTGGGCACCGCCCTGCTCCCTGCCACCCCCTCCTGCCAGCCGAGGCCCCCGATTGGGGGGGAGGGTAGGGTTTCAGCCCCGCCCCCCAGCAGCTGGCAGCAGGCAGAGGGCTGGTTGTATTTTAAGGTGTTGAGTGGTTCCGCAGGAACTCAGAGGCCACCTGTCCCTGTGGCCGCGTGGGGCGCGTGGTTCCAGGGTTGGCTGCCCACCTGTCTCTTACCCTGGTCCCTTCTCTGGCCTTGTCCTAGGGTGGGGCTCAGCTCCCCCACTGCTCAAGGCCACAGAGCTGGGGAGAGCCCAGTGTGGACAGTAGGTGACCTTCAGCACTTCCTGGGGGCCAGGCTGATGCCCATGGTGGGGGGCGGGCGGGTGGACAGCCAGCCGGGGGGCTGCAGTCACCAGGCAGCCCTGCCAGGCCCCGCCTACACCCCCTCTGGCCTCCCCAGCAAGCTTCCTGGGTGGGAAAGGACAGGCTGGCCCAGAACGAGGCCCGGATTATGGCATCTGCCCTTTGCCCCTCCCTGGGGACCCTGCAGGTCCAGTCCCGCCTCGCCCTGACCCCCCCCCACCCCTCAGGATGGATCTTACTCCCCTGGGCTGTCCTGACTCTGCCCTGTCCTAGGCTGTGTCCCCTAGCCTTTGGGGGCTCAGGACCTGGCTGAAGGGTTTGCTTGCTGGGGCGGGGGGGGGGGCAGGTGCTGACTTACAGGTGGCCCTGGACACAGCCACAGGTGGCAAGGGCGGGGTCCCCTCCCCCTCGGGGGCCAGGCTGTGGAATGTGTCACCTGCCTGGGAACACAGATTCACAAGGAAAGTGATCCTGTGTCTCACAGCTCAGCAAGGAAATGCATGATGAGCCCTGTGGATTCTCAGAATCGTTGGGGCTCCCCCCCCCTTCACACCGCCCAAGGCCAGGCCTTCCCTGGGCGCTAGGGTAGCCGAAGGCCCCTGCCCTTCTCTGGGCGAGGTGGGAATGTGTGTGGGGGCTGGGAGCTGACTCCCCCTTTGCCCCTGTGCTGTTGGGGGGGTAGGGGGATGCGTCTTTCGGGCTCCCCCTGAAGAACACTGTGGCATGATTCCTGGGGGGCTCCGCTCGGGAGGGTTTTATATTTAGCTGGGCTGCGTCTCTGGTGCCACTCGGGTTACATTTGGCGTCGGAGCTGGTGGTGCCAGGGCAGGCACAGGCTCCCCTCCAGCACCGCGGCAGAATTTGATCACCTCCCGGCCCTGGGCGGTGGGTGGTGGGGCTGACGGCTGGCAGCTGGGCGGCCACAGCAGGGCTAGGCGGCATGGACCTCAGCTTGAGCCTGGTCGCCCGTGAGGCCAGCCAGGCCCTGAGCCCCAGTCTCGACTGCTTTCCCCGGCCCACGCCCCCCAAGGCCACCAAGAAAGCTAAGAAAGCTGTTCTCTTCTTCGAGGTGGAGATCCTGGACGCCAAGACCAGGGAGAAACTCTGCTTCCTGGACAAGGTAGGACCGGCACCCGGGGCCCTGCGCCCAGCCCTCTGCGCTCCACCCCTGCCCGCCGCAGGACACAGGAGAGGCACTGCCCGTGTCTGGGGCACCGTGGCTATCTGTGGCCCTCGGTGTATGGCCGGGAAGTCGGCTTCTGGCTGGGGAGTCTGTAGGGCTTGGTGTCTGGGAAGGAGGCGTGGCGGGGGGGGGGGCGATGTCACCCCCTGGGAGGAAGGCATAGAGCAGCCCCAGGCAGATGTGGAACCCATGGGAAACTTTACTGTCTCCTCACCAGCTGGGCCCATCCTGGGTGCCTGGGACCCCAGCTCCACGCCGCCAAGGGCGTTGCTGCTCCAGCTTGGACCATGGGGGGGGGGCTGGGCCCTGACTCCCCCTCCCCAGTGCAGCAGCCCCGGTCTCCACCCCCTGTGTCTGCCTGGAGCTTGGCCTCCCCAGCTGACCCCCCACCCCGCCTCCAGGTGGAGCCTCAGGCCACCATTGCAGAAATCAAGAACCTCTTCACCAAGACCCGTGAGTGCACAAGGTTCCTACCGCCCCCCACTCCCGCGACCCCAGGCAGAGACCTGCCTGTGCTCCGACCCCGCCCTGCTTCGGCCATCGTGGGAACGCCCTTGCGGGGCTCTCGAAGGACAAAGGCCGCCTCTGCCGTCCCGTCCGGGTCCTGTCCCGCCCGCGCTCTTGCCGTGGCCCGGCCAGGGCGGGCGGCCCGCGGGGTCCCCCGGGGGCTGGCACACGGTGGCCGCAGCCTGCCGGGTTTGTGACCGCCACTGTCTCTGCAGATCCTCAGTGGTACCCAGCCCGCCAGTCCCTCCGCCTGGACCCCAGTAAGTTGGGCCGCGTGGGCGTCCCGGGCTCCCTGGGCGGAGGGCAGGGGGCCCCGGGCAGCCCTGAGCCCCGGCCGCCTCTCCGCAGAGGGCAAGTCCCTGAAGGACGAGGATGTCCTGCAGAAGCTGCCCGTGGGCACCACGGCCACGCTCTACTTCCGCGACCTGGGCGCCCAGATCAGCTGGGTGACGGTGAGTCCCGCGCCCTCGCCCTCCGCCCCGCGGGCCAGCCCGCCCGTGACGCCCCCTGCGCCCCCAGGTCTTCCTGACCGAGTACGCCGGCCCGCTGTTCATCTACCTTCTCTTCTACTTCCGCGTGCCCTTCATCTACGGCCACAAATACGACTTCACGTCCAGTCGGCACTCGGTGGTGCAGTGAGTGGGGCCCCCGGGGGCGGGGGGCGGGGGGCCCACGCCGCGGCGCCCTGAGCCCGCCTCCCCCACAGCCTCGCCTGCATCTGCCACTCCTTCCACTACGTGAAGCGCCTGCTGGAGACTCTCTTCGTGCACCGCTTCTCCCACGGCACCATGCCCTTGCGCAACATCTTCAAGGTGAGGGGAGCTCTGGCAGGCCTGCCTGCGCAGGGACCCACCACCACCAGCCCCGCCCCGGGTGCCCAGCCACAACCAAACCCTGCCCACCACCCCAGTCTACGGCGGAGCGGCAGCCCCGCCTCCAGCCCGCCTGTAAGGCAGAGCTGCAGCCCTGGCTGGCCCCGCCTCTGGGGAGCCCCGCCCCCAGCCAGCCTGCAAGGCAGCTGCAGCCCTGGCTGGCCCCGCCCCTGGGGAGCCCCGCCTCCAGCCAGCCTGCAAGGTGGAGCTACAGCCCTGGCTGGCCCCGCCCCTGGGGAGCCCCGCCTCCAGCCAGCCTGTAAGGCGGAGCTGCAGCCCTGGCTGGCCCAGCCCCTGGGGAGCCCCGCCTCCAGCCAGCCTGTAAGGCGGAGCTGCAGCCCTGGCTGGCCCCGCCCCTGGGGAGCCCCGCCTCCAGCCAGCCTGTAAGGCAGAGCTGCAGCCCTGGCTGGCCCCGCCCCTGGGGAGCCCCGCCTCCACCCCGCCTGTAAGGCAGAGCTGCAGCCCTGGCTGGCCCCGCCCCGCCCTCGCCCACCATCCTGTCCTGTCCCTTCCCTGCCTCTCTCCCTGCCGGCTCATGTTTAGAACTGCACCTACTACTGGGGCTTCGCGGCCTGGATGGCGTATTACATCAACCACCCGCTCTACACGCCCCCCAGTAAGTGTCCTCGGATGGGATCGCGCCCCTCCCCGCGCCCTCCCCCTGCCAGCCTGCCCTCACGGCTCCCTGTGCTTCCCCCGTAGCCTACGGCGCTCAGCAGGTTAAGCTGGCACTGGCCATCTTCGTGGTAAGGAGGCTGGGGTGGCTGGTGGCGTGGGCAGAGCAGGGGCGCGGGCTGCAGGAGGAGGGAAGGGCTCTGGGCTGAGCTCATTCCGCCTCGCAGATCTGCCAGCTAGGCAATTTCTCCATCCACATGGCCCTGCGGGACCTGCGGCCTGCGGGTGAGTGCGGGTGCGGGCGGGCCGGGGAGGGGGAGGTGGGGTCAGACCGGGGGCTGGCTCCAACCTTCCGCCCTGGGCCCCACCAGGGTCCAAGACCAGGAAGATCCCATACCCCACCAAGAACCCCTTCACGTGGCTCTTCCTGCTGGTATCCTGCCCTAACTACACCTACGAGGTAAGGGCGCCCTGGTCTCCCCCACCCTGGGCTGGGAGGCATGTGGGGTCTTCTGTGGGGGAACGTGGACAAGACAGCAGCACTCACCGGCCTGAGCTGCCCACAGGTGGGGTCCTGGATCGGCTTTGCCATCATGACGCAGTGTGTGCCAGGTGAGCGCCCCCCTCCTCTCCCCAGCACCCCACCTTGCCCCCGCTTCCCGGGCTCGCCCTGACACCTGCATCCCACCCCGCAGTGGCTCTCTTTTCCCTGGTGGGTTTCACCCAGATGACCATCTGGGCCAAGGGCAAGCACCGCAGCTACCTGAAGGAGTTCCGGGACTACCCGCCCCTGCGTATGCCCATCATCCCCTTCCTGTTATAGCGCCCAGCCCTGTCCCTGGGCGGCCCCACCCTCCCGCACCCCGAATAAAACTGCCTGCTCGCCCCACTGGACCTCCTGTGTTGTCTCCAGCCATGCTCCCCTCCCCACAGTAAGCCATGCACTCAGGTTGAGGCGTGCCTGCAGGCAGGCGTTTATTTCTGGCGGGCTCACAGGGCGGAGCGGCCCCTACAAGGCCACCTCGAAGCCCACCTCGCCGATCACCTCGCCCTTGGCCACTCTGGCTGCCCTCTGTTCCCTCCGATGCTTGCGCTGCAGCAGCCGCCGCTCGCGTTCGAACTCCTTCATGCGCATCACGTAGCTGGGGGAAGGGAAGAGGCTCAGGCTGCGGGCGGGGCCCGGACCCCCAGGGCCCAGCAGGGAAGGGCGCCTCCCTGCTGTGGGCGGAGCAGAGGCAGGCTGGGAAGGAGCGCGGGGTGGGTGGGGCTGGGGCGTGGCCGGCGGTGGGCGTGGCCGGCGGTGGGCGTGGCCGGGACTCACTCTTGGTGCTCGCAGTAGTCCCAGTCGTGTTGCGCGTGTTTGCAGGCCAGGAAGTTGGGGAAGTTGTCGCGCTTGCACTTGAGCAGGCGGATGAGGTAGTGGGCGCAGTAGTCGCGCTGCTCCAGGCTCAGCTGCGCATCGTTCATCTCCTGCTGCGTGGCCACCATCACTGCAGGGGCGGGGCGGGGCGGGGCTGAGCGTCCACCGCCCTCCGCACCAGGACCCTCCGCACCGTGGGTGCCCCCCATCCGCCCCACGCGCGTGCGAAGTCCTGGCCGCCGGCCTCCCCCTTCACGAGGCTGACTGGGGTCCTTAGAGCGGGGCGCCATTCCCTGAATCCAGGGCCCCGGGGCCCCTCAAGCCTCCCCTGCTCCCTGCCCAGGCGGCAAGGCGAAGCAAGCTCACCCCCGGGCGGGGAGGGGGCTCGCCGGCACAGCACCCGCTCAGCAAGCACAGGGCCCCGATCGAACCCATCTAACAACAACCAAACCAGCAACCTAAGCCCAGCACCAGCGGCTCACATCGGTAAGCCCGGCTGCCAAGATGGTTGACATCTGAGGACCGCGGTTCAAAGTCGGCCCAGGCAGGAAAAGTCCATGAGACTCTTAGCTCCAATGAACCACGAAAAAGCTGGCAGTGGAGCTGTGGCTTAAGTGGTAGAGCGTTAGCTTTGAGCACACACTCAGTTCAAGCACTCAATTCCAGTCCTCATGCTCATCCTGAGATCAAACCTCAGTCACACACTCACTCTGACAAACGATCACTCCCCGCCCCCCAAAAAAGCCTCCCCTCTAAACAAAACAAAACAAACCTCAAACTATGTTCCCGGAGAGGCCGCAGTTCTGCCCTGGAGCTGGCTCGTGTCACCAGCGTCCAGGCTGTGATTTGGTGAGACCAGGGCCTGGTTTGCCCGACACGTCTTGGGGTGTCCACCCCCCACCACCCTGGGACAGGCTTCCCTTGCCCAGATCTGTCTCCTGTGATTCCCTCCAATGATGAACCTAGTCTCGCCCCCCTCCCCCCCATCTAGGTCCTCCCTGAACCCAAATCGCACCTCTACAGGCCTCGGCCCCTCCCTCCTCTCGGCCACACACGGCACCCACACGGTGCTCGGTGGAAAGGGGAAGGTGACACAAGCTGACCAGGGCACAATGTGGAGGGAAGGCAGGGGCTGAGGGGAGAACGCTGGGAGGGGTGGCATGCGCAGGCCAGGGGCGAGGCAGGCAGGAACATGGGAAAGAACATTCCAGATGGCTGGGAGATCCGGGGTTTTAGCCTAAGCTCAGGAAGGACAGAGCTTCACTGGGCCCCGCCAGCCCGTGAGCGGCGGGCCACGGGGCGGGCGGGAGCTCGGGGCGGGATGGGCGCTCTGGGGCTGGGGCCTGGCCCACAGCTGGTGCCCCACAGCGCAGCCCCAGGGCTTGCTTAGCACGACACCCCAAAACGCAAGGCCTGGCCGAGCCGTCCTTCCGGGAGGGGCACTCGCTCGCCGCCGCCGCAGCCTCAGTTTCCCTCCGGTCCCCAGGCAGGGTCCCCTGCGTCCCCCCCCCCCGCCCGAGCACGGAGCCGAGCCCAGTCCCGAGGCCGCGGTGTCGGGGTCCCGTGCCTCTCGCCCCGCGCATGCGCCCTGAGCCTCACCGCGCTCCTTGCGGTCCGGGAGGCCGTAGTCGGGCGGAAACACGGGCATATTCAGGGGGTCGGGCTCCCCCGAGCCATCGCTGAGGTAGCGCCGGGCCAGGTGCGCCCTCATGGCTGCTCCGCCGCCGAACCCCGCAGCAACCGGGGTCACCTCGCTCCCGCCCGGAAGTCCCGCCCCGCTTTGCGCGCAGCGGCTTCCGGTTGCGGTGACCGCGGCGGGGAGCGCAGAGATGAGCGCTCCGAGCGCTCCCGGCCGGGCTCGCGCGGCCCCTGGCGGCCGGGCGGAGGCGGGACACGCGCGGCCTCCGGGGCGCCGGCCGGGCCGCGGACTCCCACCTACAATTAGCTACTCAGAAAAAGCCGGGGGTGCGGCGGCGGCTCCAGTGGCAGCGCGCTTGGCTTGGTGGAGAGCGGGTCAGGGTCAGCGCCCAGGCCCTGAGTTCAAGCCCCAGGACTGGAAAAAGAAAAGAGTGAAACAAAAAGTTCCCTGGCCTCAGGCATTCTGTTACAGCAACCGCAGAACACGGACAGATCCAGGGGTTTATGTGAGGAGAAAGCAAGCCGACCCGTGCAGGGACGAGCAGGGAGAGCCGCGCGGAGGAGTGGAGAGCAACCAATCAGATTGTCGCATGAGTTAAATAGGGCGGGCAAAGGGGACCAATCAGGTGGTCGCTTGAGTGAACAGCAAAAACAGGAGGGACCAATCCGAAGTGACCAATCAGAGTGTTGTATAAATGAGTAGGTCAAGAAGAAGGGACCAATCAGATGGGTGGAGTCAGGCCTAGCGTTTGCGGGGCCTCCCGCCACACGCCAGCGCTGGCTGCTCCCGTTAGTCGCCTAGGGTCTCGCTTTCATTTCTGGGCCTGGGTCGGCTTGAACCCCGACCGCCCTGTTTACACTTCCCGAGTGCGGGGGATGGCAGGCGTGTCCCACCCCGGCCTGTTTATTGGTTGAGATGGGGGGTCTTAGTCCCTTTTTCCCCTGGCTGGCCTCAAACCTGGGTCCTCCTGCCCTCGGCCTCTCCAGTGGCTGGGATGACAGGTGTGCGCCTCGGGCTCTCCGAAGGTCTTGAGATGCGGATATTCTAGCCTGGCATGCTCGCCCTCGGGTGGGGGGCATCAGGCCACACGTCTGGGGCCGGGGGTGGGGGGCAGAGCCAGGCCCCGGCAGCCGTCCTCGGAGAGCTTCCTGCGTCTCTGTCAGATGTGGCCGCCCTCCCCGGGCTCCGTCCCCCCCCCTGCCCAGCCCCCCTTCCTCCTCTGCCCTCCCTCTGTAGGGTGCGCGGGCGGGGCGCCCACAGCCTTTCACGGTCTGCCGGGTGAGAAGCCCGAGCCGGGTAAAGCCCCGGGGAACATCCGGACCCCACCTGGGGGGGGACCCTCCCCAGAGGGGGTTTCCGTCCGCACCCTGGGAGCCCGCCGTGGGATGACCTTGGCGATGACCTTGGCCGCAGCTCCGTGGGCAGGACCGTCACTTATTCACTCAACGGACGCCCGCTGGGCTCGGAAGCGCTGGACCACGCGGGAGGAGGCGGGGCGCGAGCCGGGGGCTGCCCGCCCGCCGTCCCGCACGCAGGGGTGAGGTCAGACACACGCACACGCGCGCACACACGCACACGCGCACACGCGGGGGCTCGGATGGCTTTTGCTTGTTTGCTTTTCAGGTGCTGAAGCGACTGCGATCCCCCCGTCTGCGCGTCCCCCGCCCCCTGTCCTCTGGCGTCTTCTGTCCGTTTTGCTTCTTCCCAGCGGTGGTCTTGACTTGTCATCTTCCTACCCTCATCTCCGGGACAGCGGGGATTATAGCTGTGAGCTACCTTGCCCAGCTTGTCTTTAGAGATGAGGTCGCTTTATTTTGTCCCGACTGGCCTTGAACTTTGACCCTTCCTCCGTAGCTGGGATGACCTTTCCCCCAGCTTTCTGCCTCTGTCTGGGGCTGGTTTGGAGCAGTGTTCACAGTGACCCTGGTCGTGTGGGCGAGGGCTCCACGCTTCCTCACGAGGAGGATTTGCATGTCTTCCACGTCTCAAGGAAATGAGAAGTGAGAGAGGCTGGGGGGGGGGAGGGACGGGCAGAAGGGCCGGCGGGCCGCGCTCAGGTGTGGGCTGCTGCGCTGGGGCCGCCATGCAGAGCTGGTACTCCAACACCCAGCGCTGGGACTCCACAGGTGCTCAGCTGGCGCTGGCCAGGCGCCCACCGGGGTGGGCCAGGGCCGGGGACGCAGGAGGGAGAGAGTCGTGACTGGGAGATGATTTGTCTTTCTGTTTTTGTGTCGGTCGTGTCTGGGCCTGGGCGCTGTCCCTCAGCTCTTCAGCTCAAGGCTAGCGCTCAGCCACTTGAGCCACAGGGCCACTTCCGGCTTTTTTTCTGCTTCTGTGGTGCTGAGGAATCGAACCCAGGGCCTCAGGCACGCGAGGCAAGCCCTCTACCACGGAGCCACCTTGCCAGCCCCTCCCTGAGCTCTTTTCACTCAAGGCTGGCGCTCTACCCCTTGAGCCACAGCGCCGCCTCTGGCTTTCTGGTGAATCGTTGGAGGTCGGAGCCTCGTGGATTTGTCACAGCCATCAGCAGATCTGGAGTTGCTGGGATTACAGGCGTGAGCCATGACACCCGGCCTGACTTGCTTTTTCTTTGGAAGGGATGATGGAGGATGAGGATGAAGATTATGAGAACGCCACTCCGCCCTACAGGGACCTTCCTCCCAAGCCAGGTCAGGGCACTGCTTTCCCGGGAAACAGAGGCAGCCAGGGTGGGTGGGGTTGGGGGGCACACTGGCTGTGCAATAACCCATGGGGATGGTTCTCTGTGCTCAGAGCCGGTCACACCGTGACTACAGGAGCAACTGAGAGCCTCATTGTACCCGTGGGGGTCTGGGGCCCCAACTGGATTTACAGGGAAGGAACAAAGAGAGGAGGGGAAAGGAAATGGAGAGTTGTCTGCAGTGGTGGAGGTGGGGGTGGAGGACAGAGGAGTGGGGTTTTGAAGGCTGGGTAGGAGTGTGTGAGGAGGAGAAACCTCAAAGACACCTGGGGTTGGGGGTGGGGCGTGGGAGCCACAGCGCCGCGTGGCATCTGTGCCCCAGAGCCAGAAAGCCATTTTACACCCAGGACTCAGATGGCTCTGCTCTTATTTAGACATGGGGTATGGCTATATTGCTCCAGGTTGGTCTTGAACGCTTGGGCTCAAGTGATCCTCCTGTCGGCCTCTGGAGTAGCTGGGACTACAGGTGTAAACCACTGTCCTCTTTCCTCCGAAGCTCAAGGCCTGGACTTGGGGGACCCCCCCCAGACTTGGCCCAGGATTCTCCAAGAGTCCCCTAAGTATTTATAAAAGTGGAAATTGGGGCCTGGCTTGGTGGTTCAAGCCTGTAATCCCAGCGCGGTGGAGAGGGAGGTAGGAGGATCACAGTTTGAGGTTGGCTTGGGCTGCAGCGTTAGGCTTTGCCTCAGACCTGCTTTCTAGCAGGTGAGATGTGGGTGAGGGTCTCAAACCTGGGGCTTCAGCTGCTTGGGAGCTAGAGATCAGGGGGTGGTGTTTGCAGGCCTGCCTGGGTGTAATCGTTCTAGAACCATCTCAACCAATGGCTTGGCACAGTGGTCCATACATGCCTGCAGTCCCAGCTGGGGGCCAGGTGGGGATCAAGAGGACTGACCCTTGTGCCAGCTAGGGAAAAGTGTTACCTCATCTCAACTAGTAAGCCGGGCATGGTGCATATTATTATCAGCAACTGCAGTTTCCACCCAGTGCTTGCAAGAGAGGTGCTCTACCCATTGAGCTACGCACCCCAGCCCTATTTATTTTCCGAGACAGAGACTCACTAATGAAGCCCAGGCTGGTGATTGTCTTGCCTCTACCCAAGCTGGGATTACAGGCATGCACTACCATGCTCTGTCATCTCTTTTGTGAATTTCTCTTTAGGTGTCCTGGCACCGCCAAGACCCCCGAGGGCAGGTGAGCAGGGCCTGGGGGGGGCGGTTGTGGGAGCCAGGGTTGGTTTTTCTTGGCTCTGAGCTAAGTGACGCTTCCCCCTCCTCAGGAAAGAGCCCAGAGAACCCCCCGCTTCCTCCCAAGGCCCTGGCGGTGACAGGTAAGAGCTGTAGGCTGGGGTACCCCCATTCCCCCAGCCAGAGCCATGCTTCCGATGATGATGATGATGATGATGGCCTTTGTTCCTTCCAGCCCTGGACCTTCCGTCTGTCTCCTGCCCATCTCGCCAGTCAGGTGAGCAGAGGGCATCCTGAACTCAGCCTCCTGAGTAGCTGGGATGACAGGCGAGAGCCACCGGCACCCGATTATTTAGCACCTTGTAACAGTGTGTCCTCCTTGCTCCCAGGCGGTGATCTGGAACCTTCTCCCTTCCAGCCGTCCCTGACCCGTGAGTCGCCACGCCTCCCAGGTGGCCCCCGGTCCCCCCTGTTCATGCCCAGAGGAGGTGATTCAGGCCAGCAGCTCTCGAGTGAGCCGGGGAAACTTCTCCTTCCAGAAACCGCACTTTCCCGAGCCCAGCCCCCCAGCCCACGGGGCACAGCTGTCTTTCTGGGGACTTTGCTGTTGGGGAGACGGGGCTGGCCTGGAACCTGCAGTCCTGGGGGGGGGGAACCACCGGCGTGCACCACGACACCCGATTTCCTGCAGACTCTCCACCCCTCGTTCCTGCTTGCAGAGAACGCAGGAAATGTCCTCTGCCCCCGGGCCTTCCTTGCCAGGGGGCTGGAGTAGGAAGGAGCTCCGCTCAGCCCTGGAATGTCGGATTGGCACATTGTTTTTAGGGTCCTGGGGTTGGAACCCATCGAACTTAGTCTGTTAGGGTAGGGCTACCATTGAGCCACACTGCCCACCAGCAGGCCCCACCCCTCAGGGAGCCACGCCCACCAGCAGACCACGCCCCCAGATCACCAAGCTCACCATCAGGCCACGCCCATCAGGAGACCACGCCTGCCACCAGGCTACGCCCACCGGGAGCCACGCCCTGACCACAGGCCACACCCACCTAAAGCCACACCCCCAGTGCCTCCTCCCTGCCAGGCTTGTCACAGAGCCACACCCACCTCGAGGCCACGCCCACACCGAGCCACGCCCCCGGCCGCGCCTCCCACCGCTGAGCCACACTCCGGGCCCCATTTTGCTTATTTAAATCTATCTCCCTGACTAAGAAAGAAAAAGAAAAGAGATTGGCCGGGTGCCGGTGGCTCACGCCTGTCACCCCAGCCACTCAGGAGGCTGAGATCTGAGGCTGGCAGTTCAAAGCCAGCCCGGACAGCAAAGTCCATGAGACTTTATCTCCAATGAACCACCAAAAAAGCCACAAGTGGAGCTGTGGCTCAAGGGGTAGAGCGCCAGCCTTAAGCAAAAGAGCTCAGGGACAGCGCCCAGGCCTGAGTTCAAGGCCCCCCACCTTCCAGTCCATCAGTAGCCCCAGCACACGCTGATCGTCGCAGGCGGCATGACAGCCACACAGCCCGTCCCCAGGCCCCCTCACGACGTGGGCCCTGGATCCATGCTCTCTTCCGGTCCCCAGGCCCCGCGACTCCGGTGCCCTGGATCGGGGCGGAGCCCCGCGGCCCGCGCCGGCCCCGGGTGGGGCGGGCGGCGCTGCTCTGCGCGCTGGCGGCCGCGGCTCTGCTGCTGAGCGCCCTGGCGCTGGCCCTGACCCTGACCAAGTGTGAGTAGGCCGGCGACCCGGGGGAGACTGAGGCTGGGCACCGGGAGGACGCGGGGCTCAAACGGGCCTTGTCCTCACAGACCAGGAGGTGGTGGAGGACCTGCGGCGGGCGACCTGGGAGCAGCTGGCGTGGAGAGCCAACGGTGAGTCTGAGCGGTTGTCCATTCCTGCGCCGTCCACAGCGCATCCACATGGCCCCGCTTCCGCTTCGGGAGCGGGGGCTGTGCTTCTCTGCGCATGCGCATACTGATGGGCGCGGCTTACACGTTCCTTCATGTGCGCATGCGCATGCTGCACGGGCGTGTCGGACCACAGCTGTCCAATACGACGGCCATCAGCCTTGATAGGTGGCCTGTGCAAAATGGGTTGTGTTCTATGTATGAACACGCACACGGATTTCAGACAACTGTTTCAGTGTAGCATATCTGCGCCCTTTTGTATTTTTTTCTTTTTTCTTGTGTTTTGAGGAGTACTGGGGTTTCAACTCAGGTCACGTGATTGCTAGGCACGTGTGTTATCCCTGCACCACACCCCTAGATGGATGGGCCTCGCCTATCCATTGGAGCCACACCCACACCGGAGCCACGCCCCAAGCCACTGAACCACACCCCTCCCTCAACGTGGGGTCACACCCACAGCAGAGCCAGCCCTATCACTGAGTCAATCAGCAGCGCTAGCCGCGCCCCTCCCCAAGCCCCGCCCCATCATAAAGACACTCTACTAGTTCAGCCACACACCCCCAGCCAAAGCCACGCCCCTTACCGCGGAGCCACGCCCCCAGCAGTCACTTCCTGTACCACTTGAGTCATACTCCCCAGCTGTTTTTGGTTCACACTGTGTGTGTGTGTGTCTGTGTGTGTGTGTGTCTGTGTCTGTGTCTGTGTGTGCCGGTACTGGTCCTTAAACTCAGGGCCTAGGCACGTCCCTGAGCTTTTTTTGCTCAAGGTTGGCGCTCTACCACCTGAGCCACAGCTCCACTTCCGACTTTTTGGTAGTTCATTAGAAGATAAGCGTTAAACAGACTTCTCCTGCCTGAACTGGCTTTGAACCGCGATCCTCAGATCTCAGCCTCCTTACTAGCTGGGATTACAGGCATGAGCTACAGGCACTTGGCACAGATTGTTACTTTTTTTTTCTTCTGTTGGTCATGGGGCCTGAACTCTGGGCCTGGGAACTATTCCTCAGCTCTTCAGCTCAAGGCTAGCACTCTGCCACTTTCGCCACAGTGCCACTCTCGGTTTTCTGGTGGTCATTTGGAGATCAGAATCTCACACAGGGGCTGGACCCAAAACAAAAACAAAAAAAAAGAATTTCACACAGCCTTTCCTACCTGGGCTGGCTTTGAACCATGATCCTCAGATCTCAGCCTCCTGAATAGCTAGGATGTCAGGTGTGAGCCACTGGCGCCCGGCTAGATTGTTACTTTTTGAGATATAGTCTTGCTTTTTTTTTTTTTTTTTTACCTTGGACTATGATTCTACTTATGCTTCCTGTGTAGGTAGGATGCCAGGTGTGTGCCCCCACGCCTGGCTTGTTTTTGTTTTCTTTTTTTTGGGTCTGGTCGTGGGGCCTGAACTCTGGGCCTGAGCGCTGCCCTCAGCTCTTCAGCTCAAGGCTAGCGCTCTACCACTTGAGCCACAGCGCCACTTCCGGCTTTTTTCTTTTTGCTTATGGGGTGCTGAGGAATCGAACCCAGGGCCTCATGCATGCAAGGCGAGCGCTCTACCACTGAGCCACCTTCCCAGCACCCCCACGCCTGGCTTGTATGTTGATCAATAGGGTTTCACAACCAGCCAGGGCCAGCCTAGAACCACGGTCCTCCTGATCTTTGTTTCCTGGGTAGCTGGGATTACAGGCGTGAACTTCCATGCCTGGTTAAAACTACATTGTGATGATGGAATCATGTCTTCCTTTCTGGACCCAGCTCAGAGATCTAGGCCGCCTCTGAGCTGCCTAGGAACCCTGGGCCCTGAGAATGTGGCTTTAGGGGTGGCCACAAGTCCAGGCTTTTAACCCTTAAGCCCCTCTTCTCGGGCAGTGACTGGCATGGCGGGGCTGGCTGGATTGAAGAAGGACTTGGATGGAGTAAGAGCTGACACCAGCCAGGCCCTGCTGGAACTTCGAGGCTTAGTAGGTGAGTGAGTGGAACTTGGGGTGCTGCCCGGAAATGGGGGAGATGACAGAGCTGGCCCACCCCATGGCTCTCTGGGGGTGGTTCTCGCTGACGTGTAAACGCTGTGTCCACGGCTGACCGCGTGCCCATGCGCGTCTCTAGACTGTGGCAGGGTCACGTGTCCTGACGGCTGGCTCCCCTTTGAGGACAAGTGTTACTTCTTCTCTTCAACCACCGCGTCCTGGGACGAGGCCCGCAATTTCTGCCAGGAGAGCTACTCTCACCTGGTGATCGTTAACAGCTTCGCGGAGCACGTGAGCCGCCCCGGCCCCGGCCTCCTCCCCCTCCGCTTCCTCCTGCCCCGCTCTGTCTCCATCCCTGTCTGCAGGACTAGGGTTTTCATGTAAGGCCTCACCAATGCTGTCTTGCTCACCGTGGGTGCTCTACCACTTGAGCCATGCCTCCAGCCCTGCTCAGTTGAGGGATGGCCCCCAGAGGGCTCTTCGGCCTGGGCTGGCTGTGGACTGTGATCCTCAGGATCTCAGTTCTCTCAGGGGCTTGAACCACCAGCCTCTTTTTAATGACTGAAGGAATCTGTTAGTGCCCTGACTGTAGACCAGAGCTGCTGCGGGCTGGGTCAGAGAAGCCGAGGAAATCAACAATAAGAAATTAAACATGCGGGGCTGGGAAGGTGGCTCAGTGGTAGAGCGCTTGCCTCGTATGCATGAGGCCCCAGGTTCCATTCTTCAGCACCACATAAACAGAAAAAGCCAGAAGTGGCGCTGTGGCTCAAGCTATCCTTGAGCTGAAATGCTGGACAGTGCCCAGACCCTGAGTTCAGGCCCCACGACTGACCAAAAATAAATAAATAAACATGCCAGGTGCAAGTGGCTCACGCCTGTCATCCTAGCTACTCAGGAGGCTGAGATCTGAGGATCATAGTTCAAAGCCAGCCTGAGCAGGAAAAGTCCATGAAGCTCTTATTTCCAATTAACCAGCAAAACGCCAGAAGGAGAGTTGAGGCTCAAGTGGAAGAGCACTGGCCTTGAGTGAAAAAGCTCAGGGATGGTGCCGAGGCCTTGAGTTCAAACCCAGGCCTGGCATGAAAAGGAAGGAATTGACTGTTGCTAAAGTATGTTACCCAGTATTGGATGTGGACCAGCTCCAGCGCTGAGCGTTTTAGGCAAACACCCTCTTATCCATCTTGGAGGATGTCACCACTACGATTGTCCCCTTTACAAAGGAACAGAGGCACTCAATGCATCAGCCCATGGTCAATTGCTGTAATAAAATACCAGAATCTGGGAACCTTATGAAGAAAGCAGGGTTTCTATAGCTTTTCGGCTTGAGAGGCTAACTGGCTGTCCTGGCGCTGAAGGATGGCACGGTGCGGGGGGTGTCAGAGAGCAAGCCTCGAAGCCGGAGAGCAGGGAGGGCTGGCGCTTTCTCATTTTATAAGATGTCACTCACTTCTGTTGATGAAGAGAACCCTCCAATCGCCTAACTGCCTCCCGCTAAGCCCCGCCCCTGCAGGCCCATTGCGCTTCATCCCACCCAGAGGGGCACAGCCCCCCGGCTCCACAGGCTCCCAGGGGGGGGCTGTGCGGGTCTCCCCTTCCGCCCCACCCCATCATTGGGGGCTAGAGTGGGGGAAGTTGTGGGTGCTTCTTTGCACACCTTGAGGGTGTCCTTGTGTCTCGAAGCCCGGCCCCTCCTCCCCCTGTCCCCGCCTGAGGGTCGTGGGGGACATTTGAGGACTGACAATGGAAATTGCTTCTTGCAGAACTTCATCTCCCGGGCGCACGGCTCTCCGCGGGTGTACTGGCTGGGGCTGAGTGACAAGGACCGCGAAGGCGAGTGGCGGTGGCTGGACGGGTCGCGCGTCACCCTCAGGCAGGTGTCCTGCATTGGGGGAGGGGCTCTGTCTTCTCTGGGGACCCTGATCACAGGGAGGAGACGTGGAAATGGGGGTGTGGCTGAGCCTGGAGCTTTGTATGTCAGTCACTCTGTCTATTTGTCTGGGTATGAAGTCCAGGCCAGACTTACAATCCTCCTGTTTCTGCCTCCTACGTGCTGGAACTTCACACCTGTATGGTTCCTTCCCTGTGCGTTCATTTGCTCCCTCCCTCCCTTTCCTTCCTTTGTGTTGGTTATGGGGCTTGAACTCAGGGCCTGGGCGCTGTCCCTGTGTCTTTTTGAGCTCAAGGCGAGCGCTCGACCACTTGAGCCACACACCACTTCCCGTTTTCTGGTGATTCATTGGAAATAAGAGTCTCATGGGGGTCTTTTCTGCCCGGGCTGGCTTCAAACCTTAACCCTCAGATCTCAGCCTCCTGAGCAGCTGGGATTACAGGTGGGGCCACCAGCACCCGGCTTGCACTCTCTCTCTCTTTCCTTTTCTTTATATTGGGGTTTGAACTCAGGATGTCCAACTTGTAGGTAGTCACCGTATCCCTGAGCTATGGAGCCAGGTCTCAGCTCTTTCATACTTGAAATTTTCAGGTAGGGTGTTGCAATTTTGCCTGGGCTAGCCTTGGATCCCCATCCTCCTCCCTAGGCCTCCGGCATTAGCTGGATGCTAGGTGCATCCAGTCATGCCTGGCTTACTGATTGAGATGAAGTCTCACTGTCGGCCTGGGCTGGCCTTGAATCGCAGTCCTCTCCATCTCAGTCTCCTGAGTCGAGGTGATGAAAGGTGTGATCCACTGTGTGTGGTGGAATCTCACCGCATTATTTTCCTATGTGCTGGTCGTGGAGCTGGAATTTGGGATTTTGAGCTTGTGTTGGCTTTCTTTTTTTCTTCTTGAGACTGGCGCTCTACCACTTGCACTCTGCCTCCCGTTCCAGCTTTTTGCTGGTTCATTGGAGATAAAAGTGTCATAGATGCTCTTTCCTGCCTGGGCTGGCCTCAAACCCGGACCCTCAGATCTCAGCCTCCTGAGCGGCTGGGATTACAGACGTGAGCCACCAGCTCACCACTTTTATTTTGTTCCCTTTCAGACAGGGCCTCGCCATGTAGCGCAGTCTGGCTCTTGCCTGAGGGCCTCCAAGTGCTGGGATTACGTGTGTGCGCCACCTCACCCGGCTTCAGCTCTATGGGTTTTGATAACTTGACATTGCTCTGTCTTTGTCATTGTGGGGTGCACTGAAATCACTCCCCCCCCCGGCCTCCTTCGCTCACCCCTCCTTCCTGCTCACAGTCTCCCTCCCTTCTCCCCAGTTTCTGGGACCCCCAGGAACCCAACAATAGCCATGAGGAAGACTGTGCCAGCATGAACAAGGGCGGCTCATGGAATGACCTCTCTTGTGCCAAGACGACCTATTGGATCTGTGAGCGGAGGTGCTCCTGTTGAAGCCAGGGGTCCTGAACTCTTGGGGAGCCCCCATCCTGGAGAGTGGGGTCCCCTGGCCCCTCCTGTTCCGTCACCCCATGACGAGAATGGGTTTCCAATCCTGGTTCTGGCTGCAAGCTGGCAGGAGGCCGGGGCTCGGCTGGCTGCACGGAGCTCTCGGCTCACGGCTTCTGGCGAGCAGGGCATGGCGGAGTCTCACACCGAACCTGAAACACAGTGGCGGCGTGGTCCGCGGTCCCTCCCTGACTGATCCCTGGCAGCATCTAGGACATACCGAGGCAGGACCAGTGTGACGGGCAGCGTGGCCCTGTCCTTCCAGAAAGAACTTCTAGAAAGGCAGAGCAGCTGTAAACTCCTCCCTCCACACACACCATACATCGTGGGGCTCGGACACACCCACAGGACGGTGATGGAGATATCCGCCCACATGTGTGGGGATGCGTGTGTGTGTGGGGGGGGTTAAGATGTTCAATGATGTCTGAGCATGGTGGTGCACGCCTGTAGTCCTAGTGCATGTGTGGGAGGTTGTGATTTCCAAGCCAGCCTTGGACTGCATGAAGAGACTCTATGTCAAAAACAAGCCTAGATATATTTTTTTTTTTGGTTAGTTGTGGGGCTTGAACTCAGGGTCTGGACGCTGTCCCTGAACTCTTTTGCTCATGGCCAGTGCTCTACCATTTGAGCCACAGCGCCACTTCTACTTCCGGTTTTCTGGTGGTTCATTGGAGATAAGAGTCTCACCGACTTTCCTGCCCGAGCTGGCTTCAAACTGTGATCCTCAGATCTCAGCCTCCTGAGTAGCTGGGATGACAGGTGTGAGCCACTGGTGCCCGGCCTAAACCAAGCTTGATGATGATGATGTAATAAAACTCTTTGCTATCTGTGTGGTCTTTCTACAATAGTAGAATGTCATTTCAGTGCATAGTTTTCACTTACTATTATTATTTTTGTCATGTGTGAGGCTTGAGGTTTGAACTTGGAGCCTGGGCCCTGTCCCTAAGCTTTTCTGCTCAAGGCAGGTGCTCTACCACCTGAGCCACGCCTCTAACCTCAGACCAGAGGTTTTCAAGGTCAGCCCTACCAACACTGGGGGGAGGTGGTCGACCCCCCAGCCCATCTCTGAAGTATCTCAATGACAACCTAATAGGTGTCTGGTCCCCTCCCAGGGTCCCTGGGGAGGAGGAGCCCACCTCCAGGGGAGAACTCCTGGTTTAAACCCACCCCGCCCTCAACCAGGCACATTGCTGCCCCAAACCTGAAAAACATCCAGATTCAGCTCCGAGAGAGAATGTTGACAAAAACTTAGTCAGGCAGCCGGGCCTGGTGGCTCACGCCTGTAATCCCAGCTACTCAGGAAGCTGAGAGCTGAGGACTGTGGTTCCTAAGCCAGCTCAGGCAGGAAAAGTCCGTGAGACCCTTAGCTCCAAGAAACCAGCAAAAAAAAGCTGCAAGTGGAGCATGGCTCAAGTGGTAGAGCGCCGGCCTTCAGGAAAAAGGGGACAGCGCCTAGGCCCAAAGTTTAAGCCCCAGGACTGGCGTGTGCACACGTGCCTGTGTGTGCACGTGCGTGCGCGCGCACGCACACACACACACAGAGTAAAAAGTGGAGGGGCTGTGGTGGCCATCACAGCTGGGGTACCCGTGGGCAAGCATGGACCAGACACGTCATAACAGAGACGTCAGCCCCACACCCGTTTACTGAGCGCTCCGCATGTGCAGCGAACACTGCCGGGAGCAGAGGTTCCAGGCCTTCTTCCCGTCATACAATGTGCCGTGAGCCTCCGTCCTCAGCTCCATTCTGCACGGGGCCAGCAGGATTCGTGGGTGTGGATTTCTCAATGGAATCATGGAATGTTCTAGTTTTAATGCTTTCTCCTCACTTGGTCTGAAAAAATTAAAAAAACAAACAAACAACATTCCACAGAAGATTGTAAGATTCCTCTTGGAGCTGGGCACCGCCGCGGGGGGCTCGCGCCTGACAGCCTGGCGACTCAGGAGGCTGAGATCTGAGGATCACAGTTCAAGGCCAGCCTGGCAGGAAAGTCCAGGAGACTCTGATCTCCATTAAACCACCAGAGTGGTGCTGTGGCTCAAGTGGTAGAGCGCTAGCCTTGAGCTGAAGAGCTGAGGGACAGCGCCCAGGCCCAGAGTTCAGGCCCCATGACAGACCAACAAAACCAAACAAAAAGAAACAGCCCCCCCCCCCCCAACAAACCAACTAACTAAGCAACTAGTCACGCAGGCAATGAACCAACCAACCATTTGGGCTAGAGTGTAGAGCATTTGCCTTGCGTATGTAAGGTCTTGAATTCAATTCCCAAGTACTCCTGGGGGCGCTGTAGCTCAGACCGTGGTGGGGCCCAGGTTTCCTTACCTCTGCGGTACTGGTTTTTGTGTCCCGGCCAGACTTGCTGGAGAGCACGTACGTCTCAGATTCGGATTTTGGTTTTGTGATGTCTGTAAACCACTTTTGGTATTGTTTCCGGACCTAGAACGTCAAAGAAAATACCAGGATGAGGCAGCACTGGGGGCGCCCGCCTGGCATCCTTGTTGATTCAGGAGGCTGAGATCTGGAGAATCAAGATTCAAAGCCAGCTTGGGCTTGAAAGTCCATGAGACTCTTTATCTCTAACTAAATCACCGAAAAGCTAGAAATGAAGCTGTGGTTTAAGTGGCTGAGCACCCAACCTGAGCAAAAAATCCAAGCACCAGTGCAAGGCCCTGAGTTCAAGCTCCAGGACCAGCACAAAAACAAAAACAAATGAAAATACCAATGCCTGGGTGGCTCATGCCTGACATCCTAGCCACTCAGGAGGCTGAGATTTGAGGATTCTGGTTCATAGGCGGGGGGGATTGGGGGGGGAGAAGGAGAATCTCACAGACTTTCCTGCTCAGAGTGGTTTTGAACTTTGATCCTCAGATCTCAGCCTCCTGAGTAGCTAGGAAGACAGGCGTGAGCCTGTAATATCCTTGATAAATCAGCTTGCCAAAAGCTATTAAAAATTGGTGCATCTTATAATAAAGGTTGTCTTTTCTTTCCTTCCTGAGCTTCTTTTGCTCAAGGCTAGCACTCTACCACTTGAGCCACAGCACCACTTCCAGCTTTTTCTGCTTATGTGGTACTGAGGAATCGAACCCAGGGCCTCATGCATGCTAGGCAAGCACTCTATCACCAAGCCACCTTCCCAGCCCCATATTTTTCTTTTTTTTGGTCCAGTTGTGGGGCCTGAACTCTGGGCCTGGGCGCTGTCCCTCAGTTCTTCAGCTCAAGGCTAGCGCTCTACCACTTGAGCCACAGCGCCACTTCCGGCTTTTTTCTTTTTGCTTATGTGGTGCTGAGGAATCGAACCCAGGGCCTCATGCATGCAAGGCAAGCGCTCTGCCACTGAGCCACCTTCCCAGCCCCACATTTTTCTTTTTTTAAAGTTTGAATAAACAAAGGAAGGGGAAAATGCTAACTTGCTGGCTGAGCAGGCAGTAGACCAGGAAGAGGAAGACGCCTTGCAGGCTGTTGACAATGGTGAACAGGTACGCCATGACCCGCGCCGCTGGGCCCACCTGCAGGACGCCCAGGATCCACGTGCAGCCCAGGATGAACACCTGAGCTGTTGCTTTGAGTGTCAGCATCCTGGGAGGCATCAGAAGTGTGTGGTTAAAAAACAAACGAACAGATCACCCGTGGGGCGCTGGGGGCTCATGCCTGGAGTCCTAGCTACACAAGAGGCTGAGATCTGAGAACTGTGGCTTGAATTCCACCCCTGCCCGAAAGTCTGTGAGACTCTTATCTACAATTAGCCAGCAAAAAGCTGAGCTGGAGGCGTGGCTCAAGGGCTAGAACGCCTGCCAGGAGCAAGCAAGCCAATCAAGCGTGAGGCCCTGAGTTCAAACTCTGGTACTTGCAAACAACAACAACAACAACCACAAAATCCACACTCCCCCAAAGGAGTACTCTTTCATGCATCTTGAACTGTGAGGCAGAAACTGCCAATTTTCTCCTTTCTCTTCTTCCCTTTCAGAATCCTTTTGCCCAGCCACGGCGCTATCCAGTGGGAGACTACATTTCCCAGCCTCCCTTGCGGCTGGGTGTCAGCACGTGACTAAGGTCAGCCAATGGGATTTGAGCAAGTGTAGATGGCTCCACTTGGACTCCATGTAAGCCAGGAATATGGATGGGCAGAGGATGGAGCCAGGCCGGTGGGGAGGGAAGACCCGCCTGTTGCAGCCTACCTTGTGTTCTGGATGGTGGACACTTCACTGTTGAGAGAAGAAAGTTTCCTTTTCAAAATCCAAAGGACGGAGATGAAAAACACTAAATTCACCTGCAGGAAGAATGTGGCAAAGTGAGGAGAAACAGTGACCCCGGGCAGACAGATCTGCTTGCACACAAATCTACCTCAGTCTTCCACTGCTCACGAATCCACCCGGGTCAGGCTGGAAGAAGCTGGAACAAGTCCAGCTGGATAGCTTAGGCCATGTTTGCTGCTTGCACTACCCTTTCCTGAGACAGGGCCTAACCCCGTGGACCAGGCTGGCCTGGAGTCTGTGATCAGCCTCAGCCTCCTGCGGGCTGGGATTACAGGCCTGCGCCACCATGGCTGGCTCTCTTGGGTTATTTTATGCCCAGCGTCTCTGGGGAGGAAACTGGGGTTGACATATACTCACAGACACGATGACACAGACGGGGCCAAGGAAACCCCAGATGAAGCCCTGGTCTAGCTGGAGCCAGCAGCTGGAAACAATGGAAGAAGACACAGAGATCAGAGAAAGTAAGAGATGCGTTCTCCAGTCTGACAACTTTTCTAATCCTTCCCTCAAGCCAGGGGATGACACCCCGGGCTAGGAACACTTACTGCCACTTGGTGTCACCTTAAACTTTTTGCCAGCACTAGATTCCCAGTGCTGGGGCTATGGAAACAATGGCGATCCTTTTTTTTTGTCAGTCGTGGGGACTGAACTCTGGGCCTGGGCGCTGTCCCTCAGCTCTTCAGCTCAAGGCGAGTGCTCTACCACTTGAGACTCAGCACCACTTCTGGCTTTTTTCTTTTTGCTTATGTGGTGCTGAGGAATCGAACCCAGGGCCTCATGCATGCTAGGCAAGCACTCTATCACCAAGCCACCTTCCCAGCCCCATATTTTTCTTTTTTTTGGTCCAGTTGTGGGGCTTGAACTCTGGGCCTGGGTGCTGTCCCTCAGCTCTTCAGCTCAAGGCTAGCGCTCTACCACTTGAGCCACAGTACCACTTCCAGCAAACATGTGTATTCCGATGACATGTCGCTCATGTGGACAATTCTGATGCTCATCAATGAGTGGGCATAACGGTGAGAGAATATGCGACCCATGTAAACATGGCACTTTGGCTTGTTTTGGCCTAAGTGCATTTTCATAGCTGGACGAGAGGGTGCACACACACATAGTGCCAGCACTCGGGGTTAAAGCAGGAGCATTGCAATATGAGGACAGCCCAAGTCACATCGTGTGGCCCTGTGTCCAAAAGCAGAAATCAAGCAAATGAAAAAGCGTTATAAAAACTCTCCAAAAACCCAGGTGCTGACCCCCGCCTGCCATCCCAGCTTCTCAGGAGGCTGAGATCCGAGCATGGCGGTTCGCTGCCAGCCAGGGCAGGAAAAGTCTGTGAAAGTTTATTTTTTATTTTTTAATCTCCAGTGAACCATCAAAAAGCTGGAGTGGCTTAGGTGGTAGAGCACTAGCCTTGAGTGCAAACACTGAAGGACAGCACCCAGGCCTGGAGTTCAAGCCCCAGGACCAGCACACATGCAAAAATCTGGGACTCTGCTGAGTGCATGGGAGTTTTCCCCTTGCCGTGATTCCCTGAGTAGGACAATGCGACCACGATTCCCCCCATTTCCGTCTTAACAGGGATCCTAGGTCATGTTTGTGGTGATGGAGAAGTCTAGAAGGAGGGCGTGCCTTGGGCTATGTGACATTATGACGTCATTTTGCATGGAGGAATTGAGCATCCTTAGGTTTTGGTCCCTGGGTGAAACCAATATCAACCAGGGTACTGAGGTCCTGCTGCACTAGGGGGAAGCATTGAGTGCGTGCACCATACCAGATTGGTCAAGGCCATGAGGACAGCGAAGCTGGACAGGTGAGTGGAGTTGCACACGGTGTGACTTCCGTTCACACTGACCAGGAAACAACCAGCTGTGTCCCAGTGGCCGCCGGCACCGGTGGCTGCCCAGTACACGCACAGGGTCCTTCTGCTGCGAGGGTTCTTCTAGAAACAGAAAGGATGCGTGGCCCTGCTCCTGGCAATGTCTGGGCGAGGGCACATGGGTCAGGGGTCACACGGGCCTTCTACTGCGTGGAATGAAGTGTCACAGTCAAGGACGGCTCACGCCTGTAATCCCAGCTATTCGGGAGGCTGAGATCTGAGGATCCGGGTTTGAAGCCAGCCCGGCAGACTCTTTATTTTTGTCGGTCATGGGGCCTGAACTCTGGGCCTGGGCGCTGTCCCTCAGCTTTTCCGCTTAAGGAGAGCGTTCTACCACTTGAGCCACAGTGCCACTTCTGGCTTATTTTTCTGCTTATGTGGTGCTGAGGAATCGAACCCAGAGCCTTATGCATGCGAGGCAAGCGCTCTACCACTGAGCCACCTTCCCAGCCCCCCCCAGCCTCTTATCTCCAAGAACACCGGAAGCTTAGCTGTGGCACAAGTGGTAGAGTGTGAAATCGCTCAAGGACAGCGCCCAGGCCCTGAGTTCCAGCATGCAAAAAAAAATTGTTTATAATGGACACATAAGAATTATAAACATGGGGCTGGGAAGGTGGCTCAGTGGTAGAGCGCTTGTCTTGCATGACTGAGGCCCTAGGTTTGATTCCTCAGCACCACGTAAGCAAAAAGAAAAAAGCTGGAAGTGGCTCAAGTGGTAGAGCGCTAGCCTTGAGCTGAAGAGCTGAGGGACAGCGCCCAGGCCCAGAGTTCAGGCCCCACAACCGGACTCCCCCCCCCCCAAATAAAGAATTATACAGAGGTATGGAATATATTGTGCTTTCTTTTGGTGTACGTATACGTTGTGTAAGGATCAAATCATAGCCATATCCATACACAATATTTGTTGCATATGTGCTGAAAATGTCCAGAGTTCTTTCTGGTCACTATCCCCAGAATCACTTGGTGTAGCAGTCATTTGCATTCACATCCCATCAGGAATTCTTAGTTTCTGTGGTGGCACTGGGATTTGAACCCAGGGCCTTTTTCTTGCTAGGCAGGTACTCTACTGGCTTGAGCCAGACCCCCACCCAAACCAGGCGAGCCATGCCCCGTGTCGACAGGCCACGCCCACCTCCACCAGAACCACGCCCACTTCCGCCTGAGCCACTCTAGGAGCCCCTATTTAAAGTAGGATTGTGAGGGTTCTATGCAAATGCGATAGTGTTTCACCTAAGGTTCTTCCACAGCCAGGGATGTACCTGCAGGTTGCCCTGGCAACCGCCCCTCCCTCGCTGGGTACCAGGACAGGATTTAAGTCTTCCCAAAATGGACTCCCATCTGCCGGGTTGCTTGCACAGCAAGCACACTGCCAGGGCTCCTGGCAGCTGGCACCCACCTTCACATGCTGCAGGGTCAGGGTGACAAAGCCGGGGAGGTAGGAGCCCCTGCGGCCGGAGCTGGAGCCCAGCGCCGCGCTCACTATCTGGGAGTTCAGGTACAAGGGCTCGTCCTCCTCCATCTTCTCTTGGAAGTCCAGGGAAGTGGGTTGGAGCATCTCTGTCTCTTCAAAAAAAGTTTCATTGAGGATGTGCCCAAGAGAAGAATAGGAGATAAAGGCAATGGCGCTGGGGCCTGAGGAAACAGAAAATGGGATCTCTTTGTAAAGTGTTTGGAGGGATGGAGGGTGTGGCTTAGACGGTAGGGGCGTGGCTCTGTCCTGGGGGCGTGGCTTAACGGGAGGCATGCTCAGCCATAGGGTTGTGGCTTGGCGGTGGGGGCGTGGCTTTCTGGCAGGGGTGTGGTTCAGCAGCAGGTGAGGGAGTGGCTTATCCATAGGGCGTGGCTAATCGGTGGGGGCGTGGCTTGGCAGTGTGGCGTTTGGCTTGGCAGAGGGGATGGAACTTCTGAGTAGGAGGAATGATTTAATAAGGGCGTGGCTCAGTGGTGGGGGCGTGGCTTGGCGGTAGGGGCGTGGCTAGGCAATAGGTCCCTTGGCTTGGTGGTATGAGCAGCTTGCCTAGTGTTTAGCATTCCTGGAGCCTTGGGTTCCATCTCCACACCCCAAAAAACCTCTAATGAGAATGGGAATATGTGGTTTGATGCCAGCCAGCAAAAACGTTCAGGGGATCCCTTCTCGACCCGAATTAGGTGCAGTGGCAGCGCCTCCACTGCAGAGCCACGCCCCCAGTCAGGTACCTATTATTATTATTATTATTTATTTTTATTTTTTGGTTGGCCATGGGTCTTGAACTCTGGGCCTGGGCGCTGTCCCTCAGCTCTTCAGCTCAAGGTGAGCGCTCTACCCCGTGAGCTTCAGCGCCACTTCCGGTTTTCTGGTGGTTTATTGGAGATAGGAGTCTCACGGTCTCTCCTGCCTGGGCTGGCTTTGAACCGCGATCCTCAGATCTCAGCCTCCTGAGTAGCTAGGATTACAGGTGTGAGCCACCAGCGCCCGGCCCTATTATTATTATTGTTATTATTATTTATATTTTTGGCGGTCATGGGGTTTGAACTCACGGCCTGAGTGCTGTCTCTGAGCTTTTTTGCTCAAGGCTAGCGCTCTACCCCTTTGAGCCATAGCATCTTTTCTGGTTTTCTGGTGGTTCATTGGAGATAAGAGTCTTACGGATTTTCCTGCCCGGCTGGCTTTGAACCGGGGTCCTCAGATCTCAGCCTCTGAGTAGCTACGATTTTAGGCATGAGCCACTGATGCCTGGCTACTTTAGTTATTATTATTACTTAAATTTCAGGGTAATTCTTTATTTTTTTGTTGGTCGTGGGGCCTGAACTCTGGACCTGGGCGCTGTCCCTCAGCTCTTCAGCTCAAGGCTAGTGCTCTACCACTTGAGCCACAGAGCCACTTCCAGCCTTTTCTGCTTATGTGGTGCTGAGGAATCGAACCCAGGGCTCCATGCATGCAAGGCAAGAACTCTACCACTGAGCCACCTTCCCAGCCCAAATATGAAAGATTTCTTTCTTTCTTTCTTTTTTTGTTGGTCATGGGGCTTGAACTCTGGGCCTGGGCACTGTCCTTGAGCTGAAGAGCACTCTACCACTTGAGCTACAGCGCTACTGTAATTCTTTTTTAGTATAAATTTATTATTATTATTAAAGGAAAAGATACCCAGTCTGAGGGTGAGCATGCTGCCAGGCAGGAGCCCGTGGGGTGCATTTCCCCAGGGCATCTCTGGGTGTGGGAAGGATTGGGACGGCTGCGGTCACACCAACCTTGCGCGTCTTCCTCGATGACGTCATCACAATGGACCTGCATGGAGTTCATGTGGACATCTAATGTGAACACCTTTCTTTCTTCAGAACATTTGTCCCCAACAGTCTGTGTGGCAACAGCTGGGAAGGAAGGCAGCAGTTAACAGTATAAAAATTAAGGACAGGAAAACAAAAGCAAAGCCTGACGTGGTGATGTAGGTGAAATGGTGGTGTAGCTAAAATGGTAGAATGCTAGCCTTGTGCAAAAGGAGCCTGAGGACAAGCCTAGGCCCAGAGTTCAAGGCCCACGATCCAGACACACACACACACACACACACACACACACACACACACACACATTGAGTTGTCACCAGTGAGGAACACCAAAGGCTCCTATTACAAGGAGTCTGTGATGGTCCAGGCAGTGAGTTATAAATGGTGTCTCACATCGGCCTCCTAAGGCTCAAGGAGGAGCCATTGTTTCACACAAGCGGGAAATGGCGTTCAGAAATTAAGCGAGGCTGTTACTGTTTGCTCCCTCCCTCCTACAGTCTTGGGAATGTAACCAGGGCCTCTCACACGCAAGCAAAGGCTCTACCTCTTGAGTTGTGCCCACCCCCCAGCCAGTTAGTTTTGTGTGTGTGAGCTAGGGTTTCTGGCCTCCACCTTGCAATCTCCCTGCCCCTGCCTAGTGATACAGGCACGCGGCATTTATTCTCCAAAAGCGATTATGGACAAAGATGGACAGCTTTAAGGACAAGACAGGACGGGGGATAATGGTGAGGAGACGAGGAATTACCTGGGTGTTTAACAAAGGCTCCCTTGGTTGAGGGGATCCAAGTCTTCATTAAAAAAGAGAATGAAGCGGCAGAGGTAGGGGCGTGGCTCCCAGAGCGAGGGTGTGACTTAGGCCAAGGGGCGTGGCTTAGGCCAGGGGGCGTGGCTCAGCGCCACCTAAGCTGTAGCTTAGGTGTTGGGGGCGTGGCTCATCACCAGGGGGTGTGGCCTAAGGGTTGGGGGCCTGACTGAGGCTGGGGGCGTGGCTCAGTAGGGGGTGTGGCTTCAGGGATAGAGCACCAGCCTAGCAAGAGCAAGCAAGGCTTGAGTTCAAACTCCAGTACTGTCAGAAATAAAGAAGATATGAGAATAAAATATAGCAGAGGGCTGGGGCAGGGGTAGCTCCGTGCTGGAAAGAACTTTCCCAGCATGTGAAGGGCCCGGGTTCCATCCTTAGTGCCACAACCACAAAACCAGACAAGATGAAGCGTGACTAGGAATAGGAAATGGTCAAGTTGGGGGCATTAACGTACTGCTTTTGTCTCTTCTGTACACATCACAAAGGTTAAAAAAGGGGAATAACAGGATAGTGTACCGGCAATCAAGAATATTTTAGAGCTGGGTGTTGCTGGGCCTGGTTGCTGTCCCTGAGCCTCTCTGTGCTCAAGGCGAGCGCTCTACCACCTGAGCCACAGCGCCACTTCCGGTTTTCTGATGGAGATCAGAGCCTCACAGACTTTCCTGCCCGGGCTGGCTTTGAACCATGATCCTCAGATCTCAGCCTCCTGAGTAGCTAGGATGACAGGCGTGAGCCACCAGCGCCCGGCTTTTGTGGTCCAATTTAATGTCCAAGAAATTGTACAACTGTACTATTTGTGACGTTAACCCCTGTGCAGCCTCACACAATTGCAGTATTGTGCACATTTCCTTGATTCCCATGGTTCCCCCAAATATCCCCCTCCCCCCATCACCTGGTCCTCCTCTGCCCCTCCACCTCCTCTCACCGCACGAGGGCTGCGTTGTCTCCCTTTTTACAACGAAGGGCGCATGCGCTGCCTCTATTGTCTGTTTTCCAATTCTTTAGCAGAGATCCCTGGCTAATCATCTTCAATTTACCCATAGTCCTGTTGAAGGCTTCCTGGATTTTTCGCCGTGGGGTTTTCAAGGCTGCTTCGAGAACACTTGATTCTACATCCTGGAGGAAGGATGACGCTGTGGAGGCGAGCTCTTGTTTGTCCTCTCTTCTCCACAGAGTCTGATTGGCGAGTAGTGACTCGAACTTGTTGACAATTTCCTGCAGCTTTGAAGTCACAAAGAACATTTATTTTATCAATCATGTGGACAGGTGCGGTGGAGCACACCTTTAATCCCAGCTGTTCAGGAGGTGGAGATTGGGTGGATCGATTTGAGCCCAGCCCCAGGCAAAAAGTGGGGGACACCTCCCCTCTTCAGGTCCCCCCCCCCCCCGCCCCGATCTTAATGGACAAGCTGGGAGTAGTGTGGTGTTGCACAGGAGGCATAGGGGAAAGGATTGTGATTTGAGGCTGGTCTGGGGCGAAACATTCCCCATGCTACTTGAAAAACAACTAAAGTAAAAAGGTTTAAAAAGGCGGGGGAGGGCTGGAGATGTGGCTCGAGTGGTGGAGCACTTCCCTGGGGGCTTCCTGTCGTGCTGGGATTACAGGCAGGAATCACTGGGTCCGACTTTCTAGCTGGAGTCTCACAGACTTTTCAGGTAGCACTGCTCTGGTCTCCCTGTCCACCCAATCTCTGGCTCCCGTGCAGTTTGGGGTGTCAGGTTTTAGCCACTGCGTCCAGCTATGGGGTGAGATAGGGAGCATGCTCTGGCTGGCCTCCAATTTGAATCCTTCCATTCCCAGCCTCCCATGTCCCTAGGATTATAGGCAAATGCCAGGCTACATTTAATTCTTTGTGAGCTACATTTATGAGCTAAGTAGTTTTATGAGCTATGACAATGGCGATAATGATTACAAGTTGTAAAACAAACAAAAAATCCTCCAAAATTCTTGAATTTAAATGGGCCTTGTTACTTTTTTTTTTTGTCGGTCATGGGGCTTGAACCCTGGGCCTGAGCGCTGTCCCTCAGCTCTTCAGCTCAAGGCTAGTGCTCTACCACTTGAGCCACAGCACCACTTCCAGTTTTCTGGTGGTTTTATTGGAGATAAGAGCCTCACAGACTTTTCTGCCTGGGCTGGCTTTGAACCATGATCCTCAGATCTCACTCTCCTGAGTAGTTAGGATGACAGGCGTGAGCCACTGGTGTCCGGTTTATTAAGCTAGTTTTGTGCTTTATTTCTGTTAAGAGAATCACAGGGCTCTGGGTGGCAGGAAGAGGGGACGTAGAGAGCCAAACACAGAAGCAAGTCGAAGAATTTTGAACAGTTTTGTGAGTAATCTGTGTGCCCTAACTCACAGTCACATTTGTATCTATTTATCTAGTGTGTATACGTGTGTATTCATCTACATGTGTGTACATGCAGTGACATGTGACACATGATAAATGTGTATGTGCATGTCTAAGTCATAAATCATCATATCAACAGAAAATATTATGATATGTATAACACTGCAATTCATGACATGTAGAATTTTGCTTTAAGAATGTTGGTCACGTAAAAATGTATAACCAATCATATAATCACGTAATATTGTATAATGAAATAACACATATGTGTTTTTTTTCCTCAGGCAGGGTTTCAGATGATGGCCCCAGTTGGCCTCAAATTCATGATCCTTCTCCCTCAGCCTCCTTAGTGCTGGTATTGCACCACCAGACCTGGCTGACATCATATGGATTGAGTAGTATATGATATCATTATGCATTACATCATAGCATGTATAATAAAATAACGTGGAATATAATATTATTGGCAGATAATAATACATCATGTATATAACATGTAACATTATCTATCAACTATTGTGTACATTCTACTTATTCTTCTATCTGTCTGTCTGTCTGTCTGTCCATCCATTGATCTGCCTGTACATCTATCCATCTGTCCATCCCTCCTCTTGCCAGCTTGGGACTTTGTCAGTACTTGCTCCCTGGCCTTTGTCTCTTGCTGGGTTCCGGGGACCAGTGAGTGTCGCTCACCTGTTGGTGGCCCTGAGCTGTCTTTGAGGAGTTGGTCTCTGCAACACATGGAGAGCAGTTACTGTTGGAGCGGGTGCCCAGGTGGCTGGCTAGGCAATTCTCCATCTGCAAAATCTGGATTTGCACTCTGCTTTCAATCACCATTACAATCGATCCTCATTGCAATTTGTATAATGAAATATTCATATCATTCATCCTCATTGTTTGTACTCTGTCTTCACCGACACTGTTTTTGTTGGGGATAGGGGTTCAAAGCTTGAGCTCCTCATTCATTCTAGGGTGGCACATGTGCCTTATTTGTTTTCCCCTGTGGTATTGAGGATGGAACTCAGGGTCTCACGCTTGCTCAGCTGGCGCTACCGTTTGAGCCATGCCCTCCAGCCAGTTTTATTTTGTTGTTTAATTGGAGATGAAGTCTTTGGGACTTGCTTCATGCCACAGTCCTCTGCACTGCAGCTTCCTGAATAGCTAAGATTACTGATGTGAACCACTGGCACCATGCTAGTTTTTGTTTTTCTTTTTGTGCCTTCTCCTAGGACTTGAACCCTGGCCCTGGGTGCTGTTTCTGAGCCTCTTTGTGCTCAAGGCTAGTACTCTACCACTTGAGCCACAGCTTTATTTCCAGCATTTTGGTAGTTAATTCAAGATAAGAGTCTTACAGACTTTCCTGCTTGGGCTGGCTTCAAACTGCATTGTCAAATCTCAGCCTCCTGAGTAGCTAGAATTACAGGTGTGAGCCACTGGTGCCTGGCTTATTTTATTTTATTTTTTAATTGGCAATAGAAATGCTACTCCTTCATCTGAATACTTTAAATAAAATATGACATGGTTAGTAATTAGGGTAATGCATGGCTTCTGGTATAAAGTAGAATAGCAGTTTTATTTTTTAACGGAACCAGTTTGTGAGAGTTTAGCTTTAAAGTCTCTTTCTGGAGGCGGGGGCTGGTGACTCATACCTGTAACTTCAGCTACTCAGGAGGCTGAGATCTGAGATTCCAGGTTCAAAGCCAGCATGGGCAGGAAAGCCTGTGAGACTCCTATCTCAAATTAACCAATTAAAAGCAAGAAGTGAAGGTGTGGCTCAAATGGTAGAATGCCAACCTTGAATGAAAAAGCTAAGGGACAGCACACTCAGCCCCCAAGTTCATACCCCAGGACTGGCATATTCCAAACAAACAAAAAACAAACCCACAAAAAAACAAAAGTCAAAACCAAACAAACCAGAATTTACGTGATTCTGAGAGTCAGTTAACGAATCTCCCTTTGGATGGCTTCAAGGGCAGCCGTGGTTGCACGTGGAGCTGCGAGTGTAGCTCTATTTGTGATGCCTGGCTCTGCGTTATTGGTTCTTAGGAAATGTCAGCCTCAGAGTTTGGGGGTGCCTTGGTGTCAGGCAAGGTCTCTGCCTTAGCTATAGGCCTGGCATGTGTCTTCTGCCTACCACCTCCACACCTTCTGCTGGATTTGAATTCCTGCTCTCTCTGTTCCATTTATATACATGACCACAAATCAGGCTGCGCTAAAGCCACCAGCACAACCATGTTCACTGCAGTATTCTTTACCAGAGCCAAGATATAGAATTAACCCAGATGCCCTTCAGTAGATGAATGGATCAAGAAACTGTGATATCTATCTATCTATCTGTCTGTCTGTCTGTCTGTCTGTCTGTCTGCCTGCCTGCCTGCCTGCCTGTCTATCTATGAATTCTATGCTTCCATCAGAGAGAATGACATTACCCCATTCATAAGAAAATGGAAAGACTTGGAAAAATTATACTAAATGAAGTCAGCGAGACCCAAAGCTGCATAATTTCCTTCATTTGTAATAACTAGAGTAAATAATTTACTTGTAATAACAAGTAAACACAGTGGATAGTAAAAGATAAATAAATATACCTGGAATTGGTTAATTAAATAGCACTCTAAACATCCACACAGTGAGAACAAAGGAAGATAGTCTTAGGAGAGGATCACAAGGGCTCAATAACTATTTGCATATGGTCTTATAAAATGATGCTTATTGAAATAAACTCCAAGAAATGGAAGCAAGAAGTTTTTTGTTTTGTTTCTTTTTTGCCACTCCTGGGGCTTGAACTCAGGGCCTGCGCACTGTCCCTGAGCTTCTTTTGCTCAAGGCTAGCACTCTACCGCTTGAGCCACAGTGCCACTTCCGGTTTTCTAGTGGTTTATTGGAGATAAAAGTCTCACAGACTTTTCTGCCCGGGCTGGCTTTAAACCACTATCCTCAGATCTCAGCTTCTGAGTGGGTAGATGAAGGCGTGAGCCACTGGCGCTCGGCTTTTTAAAAAAATAAATTGTACTGTTTATGTTTTTTTCCTCCCTTCCATAGCATCAACATGAATTCTGGCAGACTCAATGAAGAGGAAAAGAGGAAAGGAAGCAAGAAGACCCCAATTTTCTCACTGTGACAGGTGTTCTCCTTGGAATATTTGAACTGCACACCACCGGAGGCCAGTTCAAATCCAGCCATGCAGCGGCATTCGAAGGTCCCCTCGAGGTTGTGGCACTGGGCATTTGGTCCACAATCCATGCTCACAGGAGGTGCACACTCATCAACATCTGGAATCCAAGCATGAAAGTTCCCCGGTAACCAAGCAGAATACTCACACTGCATTTTTCCTTTTTATGCTGATTTTGGGACTCGAACCTGGGCCCTGAGATTTTTTTTTTCCCCTCTTAAGGCTGGCGCTTGACAATTTGACCCACAGCTCTACTTCTGTCTTTTTGGCGGTTAATTGGAGAGAAAACATTCAGGGAGTTTTCTATCCTAGCTGATTTTGAACCTTGATCCTCAGTGCTCAGCCTTCTAAGTACCTAGGATTACAAGCATGCACAACCATTCTAAACTCTGAATTGAAAAATTCATATTTGTTAGCCAGACGAATGAGGTTTACTGTGATATCTCCAAATATGCTCATGAATTGATCATATTCTCCCATTTTCCCCCAATTTTACCTTAGCTCACCTTTCCAGCATTATTCTGTTTCCGTGTTGTGTTTTCTTTTCTCCTCCCTCATCATTTTACAATTGTTATTATAAAGGTGATATAGAGAGTGGTTACAGTTACATAAGTGAGGTATTGAGTACTTTTTTTGGGACAATTTCACCCCTTTTCTCCTTCTCTCCCAGTTTTTCCCTCCCATCCCCATTCACAAGTTGTATAGTTCATTTTCAACATAGTGTCTAGTGAGCACCAATGCTGCATTTGTTCACCCTTTGCCCCTCTGTTCCTGTGCCTCTCAGGGACAGATAAATGAGCAAGATGAGAAGAAAAGAAAACAAAACAGCAACAAAGGAAAAAACCCTCATTTCCATTTCCTGGCTTAATTTCAATAAGTACTATTTTATATGATTGGATGCACGTAGGTATTGCCCCTCCTTTCATGTTGAATTTTCTTTTTTAGTTTCTCCCATTTACAAAAGAGCATGTGCTACCCAGCTTTCTGCATTGGGCTTGCTTCACTTAACACAATGCCTAACAGGTTCATCCACTTGGTTGCACAGGTCAGGATTTCATTCTTCTTCAGGGATGCATAATATCCTGATTGTGTGAGACACCATGAAGAACTTTGTTTTTTTTTTCTTTCAGTGACATATTTTAGTGCCCAATCTTTGTCCTTACTTGAGAAAACAATTGTGCCATGCCTTCTTCTTCTTTTCTTTTCTGTTTTTTTTTTTTGGGGGGGGGATGAAATTCTGGACTTCAACTCAGGTCTACTCGCTTGCTCTGCTTGCTTGCTTGGCTGGCCCTCTCCTGCCTGAGCCATGCCTCCAGCCCTGCACCAGGCTGTATCACTCAGGAAGCAGTGTTTTATTCATGATCTGATCCCACTTCATGGAGTTGCATAACTATCTTCACAAGATAGGGGAGAAAAAGAGTTTGAGAGCTTGCCAGATTCTACAAGAATCTGGCGCTTCTTTCTTGGTGAGGTTTACATAGGTAGATTATTATTATTATTATCATCATTATTATAGCATTGTTCTTCTCTGCGATTTCTCTTTCCCACAGCCCTGGGGACGCCCTCCTTCCCCTCCTGTCGGTGACCCCTTTACCGTCACACGTTTCCAAGGGGAAGGTGAAGAGCTTCTGCCCAGAGCTGGAAGTGTACCCGGGGTTGCAGGTGCAGGCCGTGCTGTTGACACAGGAAGCATGCTGGGGACAGGAGCAAGAGTCTGTGGAGGGAGCGAGAGGCCGCCACGTCAGCCACGGGGCGGCTTGTTTCTCTTGAGTCACAATTTTGGAGCTATTACTTTGAGAGAGAGAGAGAGAGAGAAAGAGAGAGACAGTGAGAGACAGAGACAGAGAGACAGAGAGAAAGAGACAGAGACAGACAGACAGAGGAGAAAAACTAATAGAGCGGATGAATTTGGTCCCAGCATGCTGGACACATGTACGGACATAGCAGAAGGAAACTCTATTATGTAATTGATTTATACGCACCAAAAATAAAAAGGCCCAGGGATAGCCTTCCACACGCCGCAGCCCAATGTGCTTCTCCTTTTAGGCACAATGGAGTTCGAACTGCTTGCGTGGCAGGTGCTCTGCCACTCAAGCCACGCCCCCGCGTCAGCCACGCCCCCACCAATCACTCAACACCCTAAGATTAGAGCCACGCCCCACCACTTGAGCCACGCCCCACCACTTGAACCACGCCCCCACCACTTGAGCCATGCCCCATCACTTGAACCACGCCCTACCACTTGAACCACGCCCCATCACTTGAACCACGCCCCCCACCACTTGAGCCACGCCCCAGACCAACACAGTGACTAGATTTGATTCTGGTCCTACCACTAACTAGATTTGGGCAAAGGTCCTCCTCTGTTCAGATTCTTGTTTTGTTTTTTGGACTTTTTTCTATTGTAGAAATATTGTATAGAGGGGCTACAGTTACATGAGCAAGGTAATGAGTACACTTCCTATTGAGCACTGTTGCTTCCTCCTTTGTGGTCTTTGCGATTCTTAATTGCTTTGCTAGAATGTGAGTTGAGGATTAATTTTGGGAAGTTCATATGTAGCAAGAGTCAGCTATGATTTGGAGCACTGGAGCTGTGGCTCGTAGGAAGGGACAGGGCTTTGTGGAAGGGGCTTGGCTCAGCTTTCCCAGAGGAGGCTGTCCATAGTGTTTGTTTTTTGTTTTATTTTTATTTTATTTTATTTTGTCGGTCGTGGGTCTGGGCGCTGTCCCTGCGTTCTTCAGCTCAAGATGAGCGCTCTACTGCTTGAGCCACAGTGCCACTTCCGGTTTTCTAGTGGTTTATTGGAGATCAGAGTCTCATGGACTGTTCCATCCAGGCTGGCTTTGAACTGTGATCCTCAGATCTCAGCCTCCTGAGTAGCTAGGATTACAGGCATGAACCACTGGCGCCTGGCTTGTCCATAGTTTATTGTAGAAGATAAATGAGGAAATAGAAATGTTTATTCTGATTTGAACTTAATTGTGCACAGCATACTCCATAAATATATGTGTGTGTGTGTGTGTGTGTGTGTGTGTGTGCATATACATTGCTGGTCCTGGAGCTTGAACTCAGGGCCTGGGCACTGTCCCTGAACTTCTTTTGCTCATGGCTAGCATACTACCACTTGAGCCACAGTGCCACTTCTGGCTTCTTTGTGTATGTGGTACTGAGGAATCAAACCCAGGGCTTCATGCATGTAAGGCAAGCACTCTACTACTAAGCCATATTCCCAGCCAAATACACACAGACACACACAGAGAGACACACACATATTTTTTTTTGTCGGTTGTGGGGCTTGAACTCTGGGCCTGGGTGCTTTCCCTCAGCTCTTCAGTTCAAGGCTAGCACTCTACCGCTTGAGCCACAGCACCACTTCTGGTATTTTAGTGGTTCATTGTAGATCAGAGTCTCATGGACTTTTCTGCCTAGGCTGGCTTTGAACGGCAATCCTCAGATCTCAGCCTCCTGAGTAGCTAGGATTATAGGCATGAGCCACTGGCGCCTGGGTAGGTCCATATGTATATTTTTAATGCTTGATTAGTTAAAATACATTTTAAGCTAAGTTCTGGTGTCTCACACCTGCAGTTTTGGCTACTCTGGAGGTTGAGATCTGAGGACTGCAAAGCCAACACCAGGCAGGGTGTTAACCAGCAGAAAGCTATAAGTGGAGCTGTGGCTCAAGTGGTAGAGTGCCAGCCTTGAGCAGAAAAGCTCAAGGGCAATACCCAGGCCCTGAGTTCAAGCCCCAGGACAAGTATACATAAAACAAATATATTTTAATTGTGCAAAAACAATTACACATTTGATCAAACAAAACAGAAGAGAATTTGTACTTAGACCTTCCTTTCTCTCACACACACTACTTTGAAATGATTTTGTCCATGACTTGTTGAGTTGTTTATGACATGAATGATAATTATTACCTTTGCTTTTTCTCTCCCCATCTGAACATTTACTTCAGGAGACTTTATGTGTATGTGTGTGCCTGTGTGCACGTATGCGTGTATGTGTATCTATTTTACAGAGCTGGGGATGGAACCTGGGGCCTCACATGTGCTAGGCAAGTGCTCTATCACTTCTACTCCAGTATTACTGTATTTTACCTACTGTTCTTTCTCTGCATTGTACCCATGTACCCACATGAACCTGATCTGGCTAACAAAAACATATGAACATCAAACAAAAAAGTAAGAAAGGCCCAGATGGAACAGAATGATCACTCAAGCAAACACAAGCACGTTTTCCCACACATCGCTTCCTGCACAGTTCCTCCTGCTTGAGGACGTGATTCGCCCAGCTCCAGCCCTAGTCCTTTCCCTTGCTTGTCCACCTCTGAGTACTCACAGAAGGCATACTGAGTCATAGCTCCAGGCAGGCTTAGCAGAAAGCAGAGTCCTGGAACACAAGAGAAAAAACTTGAGACAACCAGGGAAAGAGTCCAGAATCTTCCCCTTCCTCTTCCAAGGGCTATGAATCAGTTATGTGTTGCTGCAAAAAAAATTAATAACAACAACCTATTGGTTTTAAACAGTTCTCTTCCAAGGTTTCTGTGGGTGGGTGGGGTCTGGGAAGGGCTCCTAGAGTGTGATTCTGGCTCAGGTTGCTTATGTGGTTGTAGTGTAGAGTTTTCCTCTTTAGAGCCTGGAGTTGTTTGGGCTTCCTTCCAACATGGCAGCCTGGAGCAGGTTTCTCCTATGGCACCTCTAAGCTCTAAACGTGAATGTCCCAGCCAATGAGGTCAATATTGTTCTCTCTCTCTCTCTCTCTATATATATATATATACGTATATATATATGTATATATATATACATATGTATATATACATATATACACACACACACACACACACACACACATATATATATATATATATATATATATATATTTAAAGCTGGGATTTGAACTCTGGGCCTGAAGTTTGTCAGCCCAGCAGTGAATGGCCGTGTCCTATGCTCTATTGATGTATCAAGCCTCTTGCCCCACTGTGGAGCCAAGCCCCACCACGGAGCCACACCCACACTTCTGTTGAAGAAAGCTAACCTTGAGCAAAAAAGCTAAGGGACAATGTCCCTGCCCTGAATTGAAGCTCCATTACTGGCACTCACGTCAACCTCAAAGAAAAAACAAAAGTGGAATCATTGTAAGCCAAACACAGGGACGTGAAAGGTACGTGGCAAATACTTAAACACATGCATTGTTATTGTTATTGCTAGTATTCATTACTACGCGGAGGATAGGACCCGGGGCCTTATGCGTGCTATGCAAGCGCTCTCCTACTGGCTCGGTCACTATTGTTTTATTATTTATGTATTTAACTTTGTACACTTCAAACGTGTCCATCCAGGTGTCCAGTGCCTTTCAATCTGAGTCATCCCTTTCCCCACTACCCCACATCTCACCTCTCTCCCTGCCCCAGACTAACTTCATGTTTTGCACTTCCTTTACCACAGATGTACACCAAGGATTCAGCCAGTCATCCATCCATCCATCCATCCATCTATCCATCTATCCATCTATCCATCTATCCATCTATCTATCTATCTATCTATCTATCTATCTATCTATCTATCTATCTATCTGTGCCAGTCCTGGGACTTGGACTCAGGGTCTTGGTATTGTCCCTGAGTTTTCTTGTTCAAGGGTAGTGCTCTATCACTTGGGTCACAAGCTCCTCTTCTGGCTTTTTGCTGGTTACTTGGAGATGAGAGTCTCACAGACCTTTACTGTCTCACTGGCTTTAAACTGTGATCCTAAATCTCAGCCTCCTGAGATACATAAACCCTCCCTCCCCCAGCCCCCAGCAATTTTTATTTTCTTTTTGGTCACAGAAAAGGGATAAAGGAGGAGAGGGAAAGCACCAGGAGCCTGCAAGAACAGAGTCCAGGTAGTTTCGTTAGTTTCCAAGATGGGGAAGATCTGAATGAGGAAATGAAGTCCGGGTGAAGGGGGGATGGAGCCCCTCACGGGCTGGACAGGAGGGGTGGTGGAGTCAAGGCTGCCATCACTGTACCTGGGAGAAGCCATGGCCTTTGCATCCTGTGGTGCAGGTGACACCAGCCAGCCCTGGAAAGTCCCCTCCTGCGCTCCCAGCTGACCACCAGCCCCAGCTGAGGAGATCTCCCAAGAACTGATGGGGGAGGAGCGACGGGTGTCTCTTAGGCAAACTGGCTCAGGAAATTGCTCTTCTGGACCTGAGCCTCTTCCCCTTTCACCACCCCACCCGTGCTTCTGCTTTTTTAATTAAAAAAATTGTTTTGTTTCTGTGCTGGTTCTGGGCCTCACCTCAGGACCTGCGCGCTGTCTCTGAGCTCTTTTTACTCAAGGCTGGCGCTCTACCACTTGAGGTGTAGCTCAAATGGCGGCTTTTTGGTGGTTAATTGGAGTAAGAGTCTCACAGACTTCTTGCCCTTGCTGGCTTTGAACCTTAAGCCTTACATCTCGGCCTCCTGAGTAGCTAGGATTACAGGTGTGAGCCATCAGTGCCAGGTTCTGTTTTTGGTTGATTTTGTTTTTTTCCTATGCTTCAGATGGAAGTTAGCTCTTAGAGCACACACTCAGCAAGCAAGCACTCTACCACTGAGGCCTCTACTTTCCTTCTCTTCCTTCCTTTCTTCCCTCATTTCTTTCCCTTCCTTCCTTCCTCTCTTCTTTCCTTTCCCCTCCTTCCCTCCTTTCCTTCCCTTAGGACCCTGTGCTTGTTAGGGAGGTGCTCTACTGTCAAGCCATGCTCCCAGCCTTTTTTATGTCAGTTATTTGGAAACAAACAAACATCAAATGGTTGTTTGAAGGGGTTTCGGCTTCTCATGCCTATTTATGAAATCAATGCTCCTGGACCTGGCTTCTGTCATCGCGTCATGTGTCCCAACCGTCCCCCCCCAGCATCCCCCCCATGGGATTTCCCATGACCCGTTGGAGCGGGGAGCAGGTTGGGGGTGTGTGATGGTTGGGATGTTTTGTGGGAGCCTGGGAGGGTCAGGGTGCATGTGCCGTGCTGGGGTAGGAGAGGATGCCCGCACGTGTGGAGGTAGGAACTGGGGTACCGATGGTTCGTGGCAGGGCAGTGAGTGTCGGATGCAGGCACTGCGTGGGGGCGCTGTCAGAGCACCCTGGATGAGGATGGGGCCTCACGGTGGGCCAGTTTCACAGTGCAGACTCCAGAGCTGCCCCCCCCCCCGTCCCCCATAGGTTTGGGCCCTGGCTGGACCCCACCACACCCTGGGTCAGCTCCTCCCCCTGTACTCCCCTGCTTCCTGGAGATCCGCCCCAATGAGCCGCTTGGCAAACAAATCCACTGCATGAACCAAACGTAATTCTCTAGTATAAACAATGCTTAGTTTTTATTCCATACTGCCACCTCCCGGCACAATTAAAGATTGCACTTGGAGCCGGGTGCTGGTGGCTCACGCCTGTAATCCTAGGTATTCAGGAGGCTGAGATCTGAGGATCACGGTTCAAAGCCAGCCCGGGCAGGAGAGACCGTGAGATTCTTATCTTCAATAAAGCTAGAGAACTGGAAGTGGC